ACCACCAAAGCAAAAAGCATGGTGATCGCCAAGGAACCACGCAGATGCAAACTAGAACTAAACAACAAAATAATAGACCAGGTTTTTGAATTCAACTATCTGTGAATAACAATATCACCCTACGGTGAACTCAAGAATGGCGTACGGAACCAGGTAAACAAGGCAGCCAGGATAGCAGGAGCCTTACGAACAACCATATGGAAAAATACATGCATACCAACCCCGACCAAAGTTAGAATATATAAAGCATGTGTCAGGCCCGTAATGACATACTCGGCAGAAAAACGAGCTGACACAGCGGAAACAAAAATGGTGGCACGAACCAATGAAATGAGAATACTAAGAATGATCACTTTGGGATCAAAGAAGGAGTAACGAAATCAGGAAAGAGTGCAAGACAGAGGACGTGGTTAGATATACACGCGCAAGGAGACGCTTCTGGAATGAGTACATATCCAGGATGGAAAACCACAGACTGGCAAAAATCGCCAGAAATGGAAAACCAGCATCCAGCAGACCACCAGGACGGCCTCTCAAGAGGTGGAAGGACAGCTGGTCGTCGGCATCCGAGGAGGGACAAATAAATGGGTGAAATAAGCTTTGAGGCTTACGCAAAGAAGAAGAAGAAGTTTTAGAATATGCTTTTAAAACACTAGAATGGGAGTAATGAGACAACAAAGTTATAATTGTAGACAGATAAAAACTAAATAATCTCTGTGTAACGGATTACATAGTACTAAACCCAGACAACCTCAAACAAGGAAAATAAATGCTAAAAGAACTTCAACATTCCTTGCGGATGGTGAGTCTAAACATCACTAAGGAAATGATAAATCTAGTCTCCAGCGACAACATACAAATTCACGAAGAAGGAATAAAGTTTGTACAAAAGTTCTGTTATTTGGACATGAGATTAGAATTGCAGAGTCAATCGAACGTGTGAACTTTTAAGACGTATTACTTTGGGCTGGGCAGCATATGGTCGGCTTAGACACATGCAAAAATATTTCTTTACAACTTTACTTCTAATACCATGCGTTTCGCCACTTATGGCCTATGGAGACGAGACCCTAACACACAAAAGCATCAACCATAAAGTTATATTTCACACAATCCGATACGGAAAAATCGCTTCTTCTTCAGCTTCAACAGAAAAAATCACAATAGAGATGGGCTGGACATGTTGCAAAGCAGAAAGTTAGTAGATGGACAAGAAATGTTTCAGAGAATTTGACAAGCGGATGATCTGAAACCAATAAATGCAAATTGGGTTGCAACCCCTCAAAACAGGGAGATGTGAAAATGATAGAGGAAGGCTTTATGTCCGGCAGCGGTTGGAAATAGCTGAGTGATGATGTCTTATTCGAGTATATCCAAATTTGGGATTAATCACTTAAATATTGAAATAAATTAGTTTACATTTCCTTCCAGTGCCAGACGCAGCATTGATATAATACGTGAAACATCTCAGAATAATAATCAAATGAATTTATTTCATCAATAAAAATTCCCTTCCAGTATTCCTTTTTCATTCCCCCTCCAAAAAAAACAAAAAAAATATATCGAATCCATAAATCAAACATTGGAAACATTTCCATGAAATCGATTTATCTCTCTCTCCCTGGCTATGAGCCACCGCGATTGTGAATCCACGAACGTAAATTTTATTCTCCACGATCAGTTTAAAGTGTCGGAGAAGGGTGGTTTCCAATTCTCGGCTCGGCGAACGCTCAATAATGTGCGAACTAAAGCGGGGGTGGGGACGAATCGTTGTTTCGGTTGCAGGCCTCGTTTGATAGCTTCTCTCTCGGGAGTTAACTTCGGTTAGCTTCATGTTACGCTTGGGCATACAAGTCGCTGGCCCTTTGAAATGCAGCCTTGTAAACTGCATACGGACTATTGTACAGCCATTTTGTCGGTTATAACTTCAAAGCCTTTTAGACAAATTGTAATGTAAGTAATACCTAATGTCATGATTTTGCAGCTCTTGTTTGACCGACTTTGACTCTTGTTTTACTACAAGAATAAATGGAATCATTAACAATGTTACGCTTTTGACACATTTGATCCACATTCGTTTCGATGAATCATTATCATGGCCAGATTAAAAGCCCGACTTATCAAATGCCTTCCAATTGTTTATTTCAATATTAAGTAAAAAAAAAATAAGTAAAAGTAATTGAGTAGGTACACATTTTTAAAATACCTAACCTGCATCACTCTATTAGGAAAAACTAATAAAACTTACGCAGATAAAAGCGACGAATAGCTTGAAAACGTAAAAGATAAAGGCGAGAGAGATATGAAATCCCAAGAGAGGAAAAACCTAGTAGGTACAAGCTGAGAAAAAAAAATTGTATAGTTAGTATAGGTACATAAAACTTTGAAAGATCATTAGTGTGTAGGAAGGACCATTTTTGAAATTGGCTTTGTTTTTCATCCTAAATGTTACAAACTATAATAAAAGCAACGCCTTCAAATGCTGAAGTCGAAAGCTCTGTTCCAACCGACATGAGAACCGTTCCAGAACCAGTAATTTCCAGTTGCCCACCTATTTTTTAAGTTCAACGTTTATTCTGCTTGACAAATAAATTGATCGATTGTAAGTTACCATTCTAGAATGTTTCTCATGTCGGTTGGAACTAGGCTAATGTTCTGAAGAAATTAAGATCCTTCCAGCTGTACCTCACATTGTAAAGGGAGAAACTATGGGATGAGACGCCAAGGAGACAGCTTTTCTCATCTTGTATTTAACCTTCCGTTGGAAAAAGCAGTAAATCGCTCAGGAATAGCAATGAGGAAACATGATCATTGATAAGTAAAGTCCCTTTTTGAGAGACCTACCACAAGCTTTCAAAACATTAAAACAACGTTGAAAGGAATTAACTTATTATCGGTTACAACAACCGAGAAGCGTGGAAATTGAAAATGAAGAGAAAGTTAAGGAAAATTAGAGGATTGAAGATTTTGGTCGTGGGCTGGATTCGAATCCGAGTCCTCAGCATTGCCGGTGCATCGCTCTAACCAACTAAGCCACCATGAGCCTACAGATCTTTTTGATTTTTGTTTGGTATTGTTAGAGGAAGTTGCGTGGTTCTCCGCTCATTGCCAAACTTCTTAATCCTCCAATAGACCCACACATTTATGGCATCGTTCCTCGAATAAGCTCCTTATTACTATGTAGGTTTCGTCCAAAGTTCCTAAGGTTAATAGGTTGCCTGGTAATGGGTAACTTGATGACGCATCTGGCTGGGGTGCCTTATGGAGATTTGCATTCTGATGAGGCACCCCAGATGACGTCATACAGTTATCAGGCAACCTACCTCTCTCAAACAACCTTGGGTTTCGTCAATGTGTGTTGAAACTTGGTGTATGCGATGCCCGCATAAGGAATGTTGAAAGAGAAGGAAGAGCGTTTTTCGGTTGTTGTAAACGACAAAAACTTCATTCCTTTCAACATTGCTTATGCGGGCATCGCATACACCAAGTTTCATCACTCATGGACGAAACCTTTATGGCATAAGGAGCTTATCCGAATTAGTACCGATGCCATAATTGTGTGGGTCTATTGGAGGTTTGAGAAGTTTGGCAATGAGCCGAGAACCACGCAACTTCCTCTAACAACACCAAAAAAAAATCAAAAAGATCTGTAGGGTCATGGTAGCTTAGTTGGTTAGGGCGTAGCACCGGCAATGCTGAGGACGCGGGTTCGAATCCCGCCCAGGATCAAAATTTTTAATCCCCCAATTCAGATTAACTTTCTTCATTTTCAATTGAAAACAACGGCGAAAAGAGTAGGATATCTAAAACGAAGCATATGAAAGTAAGTACTAATAACGCCTAACAGGTTCCACCTTAAAATCTAGGGAATAATACAGATTTGAGGGTGCAAATGAGTTCGTATATCTTGGATATTAAATAAATTATCGTAAGCATGGACAAAGACTCCAAAGGATGACACTGTTGGGCAGCTTTCAAAGAAAAATACTTCGATATATTTTAAAAGGTGTCCAGCAAGCGTATAATTTCAAGCTTCAGCATTTAATGAAAGGCCGTCATTACCACGATCCATCAAAGTCAACAAACCAAATCGAATGGACCACATGTAACTCTCAAGGTCAATTTTCCTCGAAAAATCGACAGGGACCTGAAAGAGATGAAGTCTGGATCCAGATTCAATGACTGAGTTGAAGAAAATCTGGAAACTCTAAGAGTCAAGCCTAAAGAGATCAGGAACTTTATCGCGAAGTCATTACACACTTATCACATTATTGAGAAGAACAGAGCCCCCATGTAAAATGGAAAACTAGTTTAACCAGGCTGCTTAAATTGTTGATAAACATGCACTTTTCCTGAGGTTTGAAAATTAGCTCTAATAGGTCCAATAGTCCAATGTATAAAAAAGAAGAGCAAAACTTTTGGTTTCAAACCCTAACTAGATCAAATGTATTTGGTTCTTTCCCCATCTATTCAGTTCATGCGGATTTGATCGGCACAAATTGCGAATAATGTTTATCGCTTTTATATGTTGTAGTTATCTATATAAGTTCAAGGTTCAAAACTGGGATTTTTTAGTGTTTGTCAATTATTGCTACCTACACTGTTTGTTCTATTAGTGAAACTGAGCATGCATCGACTAACTAGCGCTAACAAGTAATTGGTAGGAATGAGAAGAAATACAAAACGATAATTATTTTGCTGCTTTGATTGAATTATGTAACTTAGCCCATCTACAGGGTGGGCCAATGGGAACTTTCCACCCCAATTTGAAATGAAAAATGCTCCGACACGTCAATTTTTCATTTGAGGGGGAGCTATTTTTCAGTTTTTTTTTTATATTTCAAATCCAAAAAATCGGGGTGGAAAGTTTCCGTTGGCCTTCCTGTATATCATAGTCCATGACATTTTAATTATATACCTACTTGGATAATTATTATTTGTGACATTTGTGGATGTGATTCAGTTTCCTAATTATTTCAATTGAAACTAAGACAACTTACCAGTTCCAGTTGATACAGGCGTACCACCCGCCGACCCTGCCGAAGCATAAGAGGGATGCGTGGTGGGCTGAGTGTGAGCCACGGCGGGATTACAGGCTGCCGCCCTCGAGTTATACGAAGAACTCAAGGAATGCAGAGGGTCGTGGAACATATAGGGGTAGCCTGTGGCTTCTCTTTGTTGTAAACAGCTGGAGGTCAAACCGCCTGCCATTGGGCTGTAAAAAAAAGAACAAAAATCTCGTGATAGATGTGTCATAAAGATCTAATTGTTTGTGTCACAAAAAATGGATGCAATAATTATTACTTTATAGCATATTAGTATATTAATCCGTTTTATTATAATAATTCGTATAAAAAATCCTTGGGTAAAGACGATGTAGGTACTGTGTCTTTTCCTATATTTTGATTAGATGCGTCATATACTCTGGCAAGAAAATACAGTTCGTGACAGAGTGTTAAGAAATCTAAAACACGAACTTTAGCTTAAGGCAAATTTAAAAAAAGGCGATGCAAAACAAAAATTTGTTTAAAAAACATCAACAAAAATTCGAACAAGTAACGGACTAATTATTCACGCAAGAATAGAATAGATCAAAACACAACAGAACTATTAAAGATTTATAGAGAGTTACTAGACTGACATTTGGCATGGGAGTGCCTACGTACATTTTACTATTGAAGCCTGAGAGAGAGTTTTGTTTTCAAACGAATAAGGTAGGAACGTCTCAATTATTCACCAGATAGACTTCAACGAGTCTGGTGGAGACCAGGGCACAAGTCTGCTACCTGAGGTTCCCATTTTTCGCTTAATGGCACGGATTTGGGACTGTTGAGAGATTTGTTGGAGATGCATTTGTGTCCAGATATGAAAGCGATAGAGTCTCTTTATGGACTGCTCCTGTGAATCTTAGGAAACTAGAACGAGAGGAAGAATATTTCACAGAAAACCCATCACAACTTGATCAATACCAGACGGATAAAAGCAGTGATAAAACCTATAGAAGAGGATCTACATGCTACTAAAGACAAAATTCATTTCAACTTCTTCAAACTTCAAGTTTTGCTGTTGCTTCTAATACACGAAAGCTAATAATGCCGTTCTATAAAAGCTTCTGATATTTAGTTACAAAGAATAGACAGCTCAAGAATTATTCCATTCCAAGTATTAATCTTCTATATTTCAATCTTCTTACGTAACCCCGATGAATAATCATATACCTTCCAGCAACTTTTCACATCTTTAAATCCCTTAATGCGGTTGGTATTAAAACCATTCTTGTTACGGTTAACCCATCAGACCATCAGAGTTATGCCAACCATCGCGGAGAAAGAAAATAAACGCAGCCACAGGCGGTCTTGAAACCTTTAAATACCACTTGTCACTTCATAATTCTCCAGCTCGGCTACTGTTTCGTATTTATATCATTTCATTTTGGCTGACAAGAAGACGTAAGACGATCCGATGGGATTTTTTAATAAGATTTTTTTGTTTGAATGGAATTTGTATGGCATTTAACAAGAACGGAAAGAAAGATTTCTAATAATATACATACCAGCTTTATATCTTTCACCCAATATATCTTCTAAATGTTGACTTTAATTTTCAATATACTATTAGAAATCAGCTAACTGAGCCAATAAAAATATCTATTATTGTCTTGGTAAATACATGAAACATAATATCTGAAGTTTAGCCCCAAAAGCTCTTTTAGCTGTTGCGAACAAAGGCAATCCAGACCTAATAATAAAGTCCTCGGGCACACACCTCACGTGACTCCTAATCGCTTAATAATAGGATTTCGTAGTTAAGGTAGCTTTTATCGAAAGTGATTTGATTCCCCCTTTTTAAGACGACATGGAATGATTATGGCGTGTAAAGTCAGAAACGGAGGTAATGTTTCATATGGCATAAAAGACTTTTGATATACTTTGTGACTTTGTTTTGCTATATTTGAGATACATTCTGAAAAGCTAAAAATTCTAGATGTCATATCTGAATCTGAATTTTCTTTAAAATTCGGAACTTCCGTAAGTTGAAAACTGTATCAAATGTGTAAAATAAGAAAGTGAAGCTCCACTTTCTAAATTGAACATTATAGGCAAATTAGCACGAAAATGGGCTAACGTCAAACTAATTGCAATACAATTTGTATGAGTGTTTTCCTAATGGAAATTTTCTGTAGGAAACGATAGTGAAAAGTTTACCACTCTATTCTGACGCGATTATCCAATATGGCGGATTTTCCAAAATGACTGACCATTATTTGTTTATTATATTATTATTGATATTATAATAGAACTTGAAATTGAAAATCCAGTCCGTGAACAATTAACACAATAAACAATAATTATTATAAATGTGAAAGCAGGCACAGTTCCAAAATGTTTGGGTTTTCAGGCTCGGGCGGTGCATGGATTTTGAGGAAGCTATGACACGTATAGCTTGTTTGCTGGGCAGCATGTTCTACATAGGTGCAAAAATATACTAATTACATAATACATACTGCCCCAGAAAACAAGATACGTGAGTCATAGCTTCCCCAAATTCCATGCACTATGCACCACACGCCCCTGTGGGGGATATAGAGAAATAATTTGTGAGTAAACAGTTGGATACTTAAAGTTCATTCGATTAAAATTCTTTTGAGTTCAAAATAATTGTTTATTTATTTATGTATTTACAATAATAATTTTCTCGCAATCATCGTCCATGTCCACTTTCATAGAATTGCAGCAGCTTATTTCTCTGCAAACTGTGCACAGTGTTCCCTGTCGTTTGCATGTACATTGCAGAGTTGCACATTGACCTTTGATAGGTACAGCCATTTTACAAATTTCAGGTTTTACTTACTTTACAAATTACTAATGACTCATTCTTATAGGAGACAAGCATCCATCCTTCATTTCAAATCCCCACTGTAATGCATTCATATCAATTTGTTGCACTTAATGATATACCCTGAAGGAATGAAATTTGCTTGCATCCACTGTAGGAGGCAAAACTTCCGGTTTCACATGGATTGTTGATTTTGTTGGCTTTGAAGTGAAAGTTCGAAGTCTCAATATCTTATAATATGCTGTCTTCTGTTTTTCCTCCATACAAAGATATAATGGCACCAGCATTTGAGATTTCTTCTGTGGATTTTTTGAGTTTGGAAAATGACAGCACTTTCTTTGAAGGTGTCTGATTTTCTTGGCAGTTCTATGGAGTCACTTTTTCCTATTCCAAATGGTTTCGAGATGGTATCATATCCTAATATAACGTGAGCAAATAAGTGCGAGCCGACGTCACCACCTAATACATTTACAATTTTTCGAATATCATAGTTACGGTTTTGGAAGATTTGTTAGATTCCGGGCGAAGAGAAATATCACATAAGAAGTAGTATGAGAATTTCAGTGTTTTCTTAAACAATAGCTGTAGGATGACTTTTTGCCGACTCTACAGCTTCCATAACGATCTAGACGTCTGCATCACTAAGAGATTGCTTTGTTTCACACCCATCTTCGTGTAGCTTTTCTTATGATTTAGCAATGAAGGCTTGTTCATTTTCTTTCTTACTCAAGAATATTTCTTTTTTGATGGCAATGGAGGTTGAAGTACCTAGTGACATTTACTTTCGGTCCTACAATACCTCGATTTCTTTTTAGATGTAGGTACTTCTGATTTTGTGGAAAATGTATATTCATATCCGTCGAACACATTTGTTGCCTGGCCATACTTTGTTAGTACATATCTCACATAGGCACATAACAGTTCATCGAATGTCTGTTTCTGACTTTAAGGTAGGTGATGTAATAACCAACCACCGTCTATGACGAATTGAATATTTTCGGGCAAGTTAGTGAGACCTGGTACTTGCTCATTATAATAATTGGCAAGCTGAGACTTCCCAGATTTCCTCATAAACCCATGCTTATCGAATAAACTAGCTAGGAGATGAGCAAAGCTCGTAATGGAAAACCCCATGCAAACCGACGCCACTGATCTGAGCACAAAGCAACAAGCGCTTCTGAAAGAGAACTCAGATACTTTTGGTCAGTCATATCATCAAGGATTCTCTTTCCAATTTCTTCTGTTAGTTCAGGATTAACATCACCTCCATAAGTAACTACATTGACAATGTTCCGCAGATTGCTGTCTCGCTCGAATACATTGAGCTGCTCTTGCAACACATATGTAGCTGTACTTTTAGAAGTAACGACATCAGTATCAGTAGTGCCTGCAATTGTTCATATAAAAATATTATCTTGAAAATGCTCTTCCAGTTTTCATTTCATATACTGTGGAAAATATGGTTCACTCTTTTCTGGCAGTAATTCTCGCATTTTTTCAATAAGCGCTTTTATGGTAGTTTGCTCTTCATAATTTTCTTCCATATATTTAGCTACTTGGAGAAAAAGTCCTCTGAGCGACCTGAAGATGTTGTAGTCAGAGGGGTATCAGTGAAATGCACTGGAATTAATTTTCCAATTTGAAAATTGACAGAACACTGTTTATGGTAACATGCATCTACATAGCATGTAAATCAGACTCATTTTCGATACGTCTTTTAACTGTCTGCCCACTCATCACTGCGTTCATTGCATTTCCTTGAAACTGATGATTTGAATTTAACTGTTCGTGCATAAAACGAGGCATTTTTTTTCCTCTGCCTGCAGTATACACTTATCTCGATGCCACAGAAAAAACATTTGTTTCTAAAATCAAAGTGGGTTTCACATGACTCCAGAACACGAGAAGTTGTGGGATCTGATTCTTTCTTGTCGAATGACGTTTTCAAGTCAAAATGCGCTCTACATTTCTTGTGAACTTTCTGTCCAACAAAGACGTGAAACGAAGATATTTTTGTCTCCTTGCATGTTTTCTTTATTCCAGTCACTCCTCTTTCATCTTTCAGTGATTACAGATATATCTTCATTTTCTTGTAACAGCTCGTCACAAATAAAACACTTTTCCATTCTCAAGGCTTCTCAGAACAACTCGCTAGAACCTGCAACAATTTTTTTTCTACGACAGCTCTAGAAAGGTATTTAGAACGCACTGACTGACACTTAGGAAATCAATGATTCCGAACAGCTTTAGAAAAGTAGGTACTTTTATCACGCTAGAATAAAAATTATACTTCTACCGAATTTTTGTTCTGCAAGCAACTCTGAGTGCATTCAGCGTACGTACCAAAATTGTTGGTTAAATATAACCTCGATTATAACCTTGAAATTTTTTTAACAAAAAAAAAATTAAATCTCAATATGAATATACATAGTTATATATATCGCAGTCGTAGAAAAATTATAAAGTGTAACGCGTGTAAAAAGTGCTATTTTCAACACTTGTTGCACAATTTACTGTAATGACCCGGGAAAAATAGACCTATAATTTACAAGGACTTAGAGTAAAAATCAAACGAGAAGAGGCCACACGCGTTATCGTTTGTCTCACTTTAAATGGGAGGGACCCAGAGAAAAGGAAATCTGCCTTCTTTGTCAGCGCTGACGTCAATTGCTTCTTCTCGTTTGATTTTTACTCTAATATACAAAAACAGTAGGTAAATGTAAATGTAATCAAATAATGAAAATTGAATCAAATAATCCAATGTAAATTAGATCTGCAATATTCAATATTAGAAGAAAAGTTCCAATTTTCTTAAATTAGCATTGACCTAAATTAATTAAAATATCCAAAATACGTTCAAATTTTATTAGTTAGTCACCAAGCGTGTGTCATCACATAAATCAAATTCTAAAAATATTAAAATCAAGGCAAAAGTAATTAAACTGGTGATGTACGGCCGACACGAGTTTCGGCATCCTTTGATTTATTGATTTATGTGTCCTCACATTCTTATACCGAATCTGTTGACCCGATAATCCAGAAAATTGCGACATATTCGGTTTTAAACAAATAAATATATTTCTTAGAAAAAAAAAAGAACGGTCAATTGCCAGTGTTGTGTAAAGTGGCCCTGAAATATTTTGGGGAAAACGAAAAATATAAAAACAGAGGTTTCGGAATTTTGGAATCAGTTTTTAAGATCAGAGCAGTCCAGTCGAGTCTTCAGATCAGTTAAGCTCTAGAGTCTTGAGTCTATAGTAAGATTAATAAGTCAGTCCAGATAATATTCGCCAAGAGTTTCTTTTATTTTGTTGCCTCGGGAAAACGCGCTAAATCGAACTTTGAAAAAGTAACGGAAAATTGTGAAAGAAAGAACATTTAAATTCGTTCAACATTATGTGCGAGCTCTAAATAATCAAAAGAATTTAGAATAATTAAGTGATTTAAGGGCGATATTTAAATGTAAGTGCTCTAGTGACAAGTTTTATTCTGACTTTATCAATGTTGCAATAAGTATGATGTAAGTGAATTGACTATGGAACATTATTGCATATTATATGTTATTGTCTTGATTGAAATGACTTTGAATATTTTTGTGCTTAGTATAGATAGAGAAATTTAAGTCAAATGACTGGTAATTGAAATGAATTTTACTGAAGACTTTGGATAATCAAATTGACTGTTATTATTCCGTCTAGTAAATGATTAGTTAGATATTTTAGTTTCTATCTGATTAATTGAATTTAGATAAAATATTCATTGTTTTGATAAGTAATTACTCTGGCTAGGTACACGATTTTTGAGTACCTATAAGCATTGTACAAAGCTTGGCAGTAAGCGAAGTCAGGATTTTATACGCTTATAGAAGATAAGTTATGAATTATTGTTTTGCGGTGTAAAAAGTGTATTGGGTTAAAAATATTGTGCCTAATGTAGTAGGGCTATATAAAAGTGTTATTAAAGTACAAGGTTTTTTGATTGCAACATCTCATTTACAAGCTCAGAGACAGTATAGAGGTGGCTGTAGCTGAGGTGTAGAGGTGGCTGGCTCTTAACGTAGCATCAATAAGAACTGTTTAAATTTGTTATAGAAAGGTGTTGGATTAGGGTATAGAAAATTTGTACCATTGTAATTTGGAAATGAAAATCTGTTTATTTTCTCATTAATAAAGTATATAATTAACAGATAACCATAAACTAGTTGTTTCTCTCTCTTGCAAATAGACCCACCCCCACATTTTTATTTTACAGTAGCTGACCAAGGAAATAATAATCATCAAATACGACCGCTCGCAATTTACCATCTAACCTAAATAATAGAGTACTTAACGCGGATGCTACTATCTATAATATTTATCTACAATCGTGCGTTTATTAAGTTTTCCCACACTTTTATTAGTGCAATAACTGCCACATTAATGAACTAGTGTGTTAAAAATATTTTTACCACACTAGTCCGTGAAATAATAGTTACCGCACTAATTTGTTTATTTCAGATGAAATTTTATTCACAAGGTAGAGGTTTTAAGCGCACGCAAAGTGAAGTTTGAAAAACTTCCCTGCGGTTCGTTTCCTGAACTTTACTTTGCATGCGCTGAAATCCTACTTACCACCCTTATTATGTACTATACTATCATCGAACGATAACAGAAAATATCAATATTAACAAACAAATAATAATATGATGAAATATGTATACTGTCTCAAATAATGAGCAGCCATTTTGAAAATTCCGCCATATTGAATAAACGCGTCACTTTAGAGTGGTACACTTTTCACCATCGTTTTCTACAGAAAATTTTCATCAGAAAACCACACACAGATATTATATTGCAATTAGTTTGAGGTTCCATATCAATTTTACTATAGGCTACATATTAGTCAGAAATAGAGCTCTGGGTAGAACACCAAAACGTTGAAAAGAATGTTGGACATCTACCTCCGAAGAAGCATTAAAAAAACAGCATCCCATGCCTTCATTAAACGATGAACTTCTCCAATTAGATGACGATAATTTTTACCAATGGACTAGTCATATCTGAGAAAAATAAAAAAATTCCTTTCATTTCTTTTATTTTTAGGCTCATTAATGATATTTCAAGGCATAATATTTCTCCATTCAAATTTCAGCTTACCTGTAAGTATCTGCCATAGTAGCAATAGGTTGCGGTATTGAAGAGTACATAGAATTGAACCCAGAGTTAATTGACAAGCGACTTGTAGGGACTGGCGGGCTGACAGTACCCACTTGATCAACTGCACGTCTTTGGTTGCGCAGTTTTTCTTCCCGACGCCATTTTGCTCTCCGATTACTAAACCAAACCTATAAAAAAAAGAAACTATATTTATTTGAGTTATTCTCGACAATTAAAATGCAAACGTTGAGTTTCTAAATCTCTCCCGTGCCCCTCAAAAATAATAATTATCCACTTTTATCCAGGAGTGTTTTCTTAAAACTTGAGCCCCCATTTAATAAAGTTATTATTTGCACAGCGCGCAAATATTATGATATGAAAGATCAGCATCCTCTATATCAGGGGGCGGAAAACAAACTCTAACTTGAAGTAGTTAAACACCATATTGAATGCCTGACAAATTGATGCGTTTATATTTACTTTTGTAGCTCGTGCAATCTTTCTTTTATTACAGAGGGTTAACTATGAGGGGGTTGTAGTAATAAGAGGCTTTTGAGGTTTGCATATTAGAACAAAAGATTGTTGTTCATTTCAGATTTATTTCTTTAACTACCTGCTGGTTTAATATTTTTATAATGAGTTTCTTTAGGAGTTTGAAATAAGTAGGAAAATTTACATTTGAAATTCTTCTACTATAATGTTTATTTTCCGAAAACGGGGGCATTTTACCGGCAGCCAGCTTTCAGCAAATGAAAAGCTATGTTTGCAATTTTGAGTAAAGCAGTTCGCGCAGCACTTTCAGGGCTTTCATTCAACGTTACTTATCTAAATTGCAACCGTTTTCTATGCCCGAGGTTTTTAGCAAGATAAAAATCTCCCTGGCCCTTCATGTAAAACCTACTATATACGCTGGTATGCTCTCAAAAAGATGAGGTTTTTATCTACAAAAGACTGTGTTTTGTCTATGTAATCTTATTAGAATTTGTAAAGACGATTAAAGATTTTATTCCCTACTCATTTTCATAAAAACGCTGTCGTACCATCCGAAATTATAAAACAGAACACGAACTTAACGTGTCATAAGTTCTCAACAAATCATATTCATTATGATCTATCATATTGTCCTCACAATATTGCTGGTGTCGTCGCACCCCTGATCGCCATAAATAAATTGGAGCGATTTACATGGGCTAAAGCAGAGGGCAAAGGACAAAAAGGGCCCCACAATAAATAACTTTGATTAAGGCAAGGCCACATAAAAACAACGATAAGTTAAATGATTTGTTCTCTTTTATACGGGGATAGATCCATTTCAATTAATCACTCCAGGGTCCTATTTATTTAGCGGGCGGATACATGTTTTATTCGGCGTCGGAGTGTATTTGTGTTAAAAAAAAATTGAAATTTGATGGCTTTTGTGCGATAAGAGTAATGAAGTAACTGGATTTTCACAGTGAATCTTCTATGTTTGGTTTTCGCAAAACCTTAGTTGATTGACAAAGCATATCAACAAAATAAAGAAGAAAAAGAAAAATTTTAAAATTTTACCTAAGTTAAAAATATTCACACAAGGTGTCCCAAAGAATTATTATAGTAGACTTTAGCCAAGAGTAACTCCCTTCCCCCTTTTCTACTGAACCTCCTGTATCCTGTATGAACGTGAAGACCTAACGCTAGATGGTAGAAAATTGAAGGCTTTCTTAGCAAAATAAACAAAATACCTCTTAACCAAGGTGCTTCTGGGAATTGGCAGTGGAATATTATTATTATCAGCTTGCCTAGTGGAATGATGCCTTACCGAAGAAACTTGGTCATAGTATTTCCTAATGACCAGGCAAGCACTTTCGAGTATGTATAGGCATGGCACTAGTTAAAATTCTATGAGAAATTAAGCTAGATTTGCAAGAATGTCGGGATGGAACTCTACGCATACACCTAAGGGCTCTTTTTTGTGAAATAATTATGGAGTTGAAATTAGTAGTAAAGTCCGTCGATTTTAATCTGATACTCAATTGCAGAATGTGAGGAGGCTGAGAGACTCCATGAGATACATGACTCGGTCAACTTTCAGCGAAAGATAAAGCAAATAACTGGCTCTATCGAATTAAGGATCATTAATCCCATCTCTTAGAAATGAAAACAGAGAAGTCATCCCTATTCCAGATGACCTGCGCACTGAATGGAAACAGTATGAGACTATGAGACAGGTAAAATTCCATCAGATTGGCTCAAGTCTACCTTTGTATCCATCCCTAAAAAAAGTACCCCCAGAAACTGTGGAGACTACAGGCTAATGAGTCTAATGAGTCACGCTCCTAAAGTCTTTCTCCGAGTTATCTATGTCCGAACATATAATAAGTGCGAAACAATGAGCGGAGAAACCCAGTTTGGTTTTATAAAGGGCCTAAGTACTAGGGAGGCACTCTTCTCTATGAAATTACTTGTCCAGAAATGTTATGATCAGAGACGAGATGTGTTTATTTGTTTTATAGACTATCAAAAAGCTTTTGATAACATTAAGCACGATTTTCTTTTAGCAAGGTTGGAAGAGATTGGCATAGATTCTAGGGATATCCGTATAATCCAATATCTTTATTTACAACAGATTGCCGAGGTAAGAATCAACGAATCAAGAACGAAATCACTACTGATACATTTTGTATATCCAAAGGGGTTCGCCAGGGATGCATCCTGTCACCAATTTTATTTAATATTTATGGGGAAAAGATATTTGAGCTGGCTTTTCAAGAAGATAATAGAGGAATTAAAGTCAACGGAATTGCGATAAATAATATTAAATATGCAGATGATACTGCCCTACTAGCGCATTCACCTGAAGACCTTCACCAGCTTGTAAACAGAGTAAACCAAGTAGGTTAACAGTTTGGACTGACAATCAACTCATCTAAAACGAAAGTTATGGCTATTACTCGACAACATGTAAGCTTTGTAATTAGAGATGACGGAAGAGACTTGGATCAGGTGTCGCGTTTTGTTTATCTGGGTGCCACCCTTAACCAAAAATGGGACTGCGATGAAGAAGTTTAAATACGAATTGGTAAGGCTAAGATCACATTTATGGAGTTGAAAAATTTTCTGCTTGCCCGTACTCTTCCAATGGTACTACGTCTTCGGGTTGTCAAATGCTACGTGTGGCCCATCCTCCTATATGGTGCAGAGACATGGTCAATGAAAGTTGAGACCCTGAACCGTATAGAGGCGTTTGAAATGTGGACCCTTCGCAGGCTTCTTCGCATTCCATGGACTGACCGCAAAACCAACGAAGAGGTGTTGAGAAGATCTGGAGTTCAAAGAGAGCTGCTTGGAATCGTTAAGGCACGAAAGATATCCTATATCTTGGTCATATTATCAGGGGTGCGAGATATTCCATTTCGAAGTTGATCTTGCAAGGAAAGATAGAAGGTAAACGAGGCCCGGGTAGAAACGGAACATAAGGGACTGGTGCGGAATAAGAGATGCCGCACCCTCCAAATGACACAAGTATACGACTAAGGATCGCCAACGTGCGCGTTTGCACATGGCACAAGAAGAAGAAGAAGAAGAAGAAGAAGACTCAAAAAGAATGTGAGCTGGTGGCACCCTACATTAGAACGCCAATGGTCACCACTCGCCTGTGGTCACAGCTGTTTTTGCCATATGCTTCACCCCCTCGCTCCTCATATGGAAAGTGTCAGATTGAAAACGACAGACAATACCGCAACAGCCCCAAAATGCAATTCCAGGAGTAATGTGTGTGACTCTACCAGAGAAAAATATGCGGTCCTGAGAGCTCGTAGCTCTAACTGCTCTGAGAGTACCCTCAAAGCACAACAGCTAGATGATCACCCACCAGAGAGTGCCACATGCTGCTCAATCTTGAGATTGATTGATTGATTGATTTTGTCCATTCTTTCAGGCATATGCTCAGTACTGCAGCCTTAAAGACTTATTGCACATGCCGTATTCCTCCTCATTAACTCTGCAAGTTGGACGGTCGACCAACGCTAGCGGTGCCCCGATACGCCTGGACTGGTGAGATTCCCTTTAACTTGGCTTGTGTATCGGATGACACTGCAGTCACCCACACATCTTGCAAACCGGCCCCTTGAGACTCTCGTTCAGTGTAACTCCAAGAAACTTTGCGCAGGTGGTGGGTTGAATAAAATCACCACATAAGGAGATGTTGGGTAATGAGCACTTGAAGTTTAACAAATTGGTCTTGAATATCTTGAAGGATAGATCGTTGCTATCGCACCAGGTTTTTATCAAATCTGAATCGACATTAATCATGCGTTTCAAGAATTCTCTACTGATCGCATGCCCAACAACGAACGTGTCGTCAATCTGTGGTGTCGTCAGCGAAAAGTCTAATACTTCCTCCGACGATAGGAGAGGCTAAAGCCCTGAGGCACACCGTAGTTGTTGCTCATTTTATTCAAAAACATTGCAAAGACAGATCTATATAGATAACTCTGTCATCGAAAATGTAAAAGAATACAATTAATTACCTGGGTCATATTTTATCACTAGGAAAGGAAAACCAATCAAAGGGAATATCAAGGCGAATAAAACTCTCCTGGGCGGCATTTGGTAAACTTGCATACATATTAAGAAGTACCGACATCCCCATTAATCTAAGACGTAAAGTTTTCAAGGCCTGTTTTCTACCTGTTGCAACATACGAAATGGAAACAGTTACCATTACCCAAGCAAGTGCCCACAAATTCCGAGTAATGGAGAGGGCAATGGAAAGGTCAATGCTAGGTATCAGTCTGAGCGATAGAATACCAAATGATGAGATTCGGAGAAGAACCAAGGTCAAAGATATATGAGAGGATTGCAGAACTGAAATGACAGTGGGCGGGCCACGTAGCAAGGCTGAAGGACGAGAGATGGTCATCAAGGATCGTTAAATGGAGACCGGATGACATAAGGAAAATATCAGGTGGAAATTGGAACCAAAAGGCACAAACCAGGGATCAGTGGAAAGAATTAAGAAAGGCCTATGTTCAGATTCAGGAGTAGACGAGAAGTGGCTGAGGAAGAAGAAGATATCTTCCAGAAGGGAGATCAGATGTTCCTTTGCCAGACTGGAATTGATTATCGGAGCGGCACCTGTTTAGATCGAGGAACGGAAGAACTCTAATTTTGACCAGTTTCTCAATCAGCTTACCAAGTGAAGGAAGAA